GTCCTTGTATACTAAAAGTTGATAAGGTAGAGGAAGTGGTTTGGTGAAATAATAAGAGTTAGTATAAGTAGTGATGCTTTACTGATCTTGCCAATGAGGGGAAAAAACTATTTTCTCCTTGTCTCAATGTCCTAGGCTCAACACTTTCACCTGCGGAATTTTCTGGAGACTCTAACGCAGGCTGCGCTTCTGCTAGAATCTGATGCACATGATCTTTACATCTGTGCAATGTGCTAGCTCGAAATAACTATTGAAAAATCAACTGTTTAAGAGGCTTTTTAACTTCTAACGTTCTCTTTTCTTACAAGGAACCTTACATGATGCTTTCACATCTGTGGTCATTTGCTAGGTAAGCAGTAAGCTGTTGTAAATGTGCCCGAACTCATTAATATTGCATATTGCCAAAAAAAAAAAAAAAAAAAAAAAAAAACCCTTCTGGTCCATTTCAAATGGGAAAACAACCCTTGTATTAGCATCAGTCTTGCCCTTATGCAGATAACTGATCCAAGTACTGTGAATAAACTAGAGGGCTTCTAGAAGAGTGAGCGTGCTCTTCAGGGAAGAGATGGAATTAAACAAGTTTCATCACCTTCACACTTACCTGGTCTGAGGCTCTTTTGATAGTACAGTCAAGGAATAAATAAGGATTTCTTTTGAGCTCCTGATTAAAGAGTGGTCTCATTCTATTCTGTAGACTAGAAATCTGCTCAGGTTTAACTGTGAAGAAAGCAAAGACTGCTAGTTTAAGGAGTAAAATAATGTTCTCTAATGCCCTGCTCCATTTTAGTTGTATTCTCAAAAGTTTTCTTTCCCCAAACTTTTCCGTTTTCCTATTATAACACTGTTACTATCTGACCTACAAAAACTCCTTTAGGGATGCCCTTGCCTTCCAGGGTTATCAGTCCTGTTCTGATGCTTTTTCTTTTAAACATAAGTATTTAAAACATCCATTTCCAAAACAACATATTTTAGAAGGGAGGTAGAGTATGGGTGATGTGATAATTGCTTGTTTAATAGGATAATAACAAAATTCTTTTTGGTGAATCCATTTAACTGTTTTTTCAGCATCCAATTCTCATTAGTAGTTTTTCAATATGATGCTTAGCGGATGGCAGCCTATAACCTGTTTAACGTGGCTCCTGTTTGGAGTCAAAGGGCACTGTACCTCTGCCTTGAACAGGGGTAGCAGGAGGTCAGCAGAGCTTCTGAAAATGTCCCTGTGAAGGCAGTTCAGTGATATGCCTCTGCATACAGTATAGCACTTTATTTCCTTTTATCAGTTCCCTTAATCAGGATGCTAAGGCTGGTGGAGGGACCATAAAAAGGCAGCTGTCAGGTTTTCCAGCCATTTGTACGTATTAGCAGCCTTTAAAATTAATAGGATCTATTCAAGAGAGAGACTTGATCTTTATTGAATCAACTTAGTTTAGCGCTCAAAAGTTATCAGAGAAAATAAAAGCCTTGATGGTATTTAAAGAGAGTTTAAGACCCTACAGTGTGCTCTAATCATTCGTCTGTATCCTTCCTATTTTATATGTAAAATTGAGGGGAGGATTTAGTGCAAGGACTGATGGTCTTTTTGTGGTGGTTGTACCTGCTCCAGATCTGATGCTTCCAGAAGCTACTGCAATGCAAGTGAAGCTGATCATACTTTGATGCAAAAATGAAGTGTGCAAATGTTATTTAGGCTGTTATATCTCATGAGGGTCACTATATCTGAAAACAGTAGCATGGAATTGGTGGTCTAGAGGAGTAACTTGATGGAAAGTTTTGTGTAGGAAAAGATGAGCAGAGAATAGACAAATAAGTGCATGCATTAGAGGTTTGCATAATTAATTAGAGGACTCAAGTTGTGCTTCTATCTTTTTTTATAAATGACAACAGGAGACAATTCCAATCTTGTTTTGCAGATGTCTTTATTATGTCTGAATCATTTAGCTCTTGAACTTGCAAAATCTTCCTGGTGTCAAGAGACGCAGGCATCACAAGAAATGCATCTGAACCGTGTGGCACTTAATGGGCAGCTTGCAAACTGGTCTCTGTCACTTAAATTATTTTAACTTCTTGCTATTTTTTTGTAAGAAATCTTCTTCCATGGATGATTATTCCATAATTGTTCACCTTGGAGTTGTAAGCACCTTCATCAAACACCTTTTAATTATGGCAATTAATTGAATATATAGACTGTGATTCTGGTGACATCTGGCATGTCATTTGTTTCACTTCCTTGTTTGCAGTGCTCTTCTCCAGCTGTTAAACTGTCTGTACTGCCTCTTTCAGAGGGATCCTCTTGCCACCTAGTCATTATGCTGCCCTGAAGTGTTTGGAAGCTTGAAGCACCACTGCAGAGCTCAAGGGTTTTGGTGACTTCTGTGCTGCACGCACACAGGCAAAACATTGGAGGAAGCTGTTTGAGAAGTCCCTGAGCCCAATGGTCCCCCCAAAGTATTTGTTTTAATCTATGTGGCAGGACCCATGAGTCACAGCAAGTTCTGATTTAAACTTTCATGAATAATATGCTCTGGAAGAAAAAAATACTATTGTTTCATCATTAAGAAACATATCAAGAGTGTCTTGTTCCACAAAGAAGTGTGTAGACCTACCAGTGCCATCTCTTAACTTATTTGTCTTAGAAATGAAAACAGCTGGGTGCTGAAAATTTAAATCCATGGCTATTTATTCATTTATTTCCTATCTAGAATACTACCACCTGTGTCTTGGTAGTTTTGTGGCACATACTGTTTCTGATTCTAGTTGGTTAAGTTAAAATGAATGGGAATGCTGTTCATGCAAAAACCACTAGCTGAATGATTTTTTTGCATATTTCGAGCTTTAAGAAAGCATGTATAAATGGTGGATAAGTGTGAATAGTGTGAAAATAGGACAAATCTAGATGAGTATCTCCTTTTGCTGTCTTGGAGGATTTTTATTGTGTATAACAATGAACTTTGGCGCACACAAATTTCTTGGACAACTTGGCAGTGGGAAATGGGCAGACATACATATGCCAAACAGACTTAGAGGTTTGCATTTTTTGGCTAAAACAGGCATTCTGCTAACATTACAGTCACTTCATGACTTAATTTTAGCTTTTTTCAGGAAAGTACCTCTACATAAAGACATCATAGTGTTCTGTGTTCATTCAACCTTTTATTACTTTCATATCGAATTTGCTTCATTTACTGATGCTGGCACTAGCTGCTCCATTTGTGATGTACCCACCTTATAAAAATCTCCGCTCTGTAGCGGAAATCCTTGAAATTGAGCTTTTGATGGCAGACTGAATTAAAACATGTTCTTTATAATGAATGAATGGTTCTGTTTTTAAGACTAGATGAGATGGCATCGCCTTTCTCGTAAGATGTACCCATTAACATTCCATTTTTTGAAAGGAAAGAATAACCTTAGACTAAGGTAGAGGCAAATTGACAAAGGAAACTTTGTTGGCTTAAACCTTGACGGTTTAAAAAAAATGGGGAGGAGCAGAGTTACTGAAATAACTTTGATTTATTCTCAAGTTATGAGTACCCTGAGTACCTTATCAGTATTCAGGGCTGTTATTGGTAATGAATATGCATGTTGCTTTTCCTGAAACTACATGACTAGGTTACTCTTTTAGCTTTGTGTATGTTCATGTTGACTTTTTGTTGAAGAGATTAACTGTATCAAACCTCAGGGTGCAACTTTATACTTGTCCATGGAGGGAGGCATGTGATGTTACAGCATGCAACAAGTCACTGCTATTTTCTTATGCTTGTCAACATACATAACAAAGGAAGGTTTGTAATCTTTGTTACAGCTTTTGTATCAAATTATCTCTTTTCATGTAAATAAACTGAAAAAGCTAGAATCTAGAATATTAATTTCTATTGGTTTTGAGTTTATATAAACTATTGCTAAATCAGTAGCAGTTGGCTTTCAGGTTTTTGTTGTGCTACTTGCTGCCATAGTATCCAGGTATGTCTGTCAGTGATGCTTCCTTTCTTAGTCTTTAGGCTTTCTTCCTTTTTAGGATCAAACCCATCATTTTAGTTGTGGTTTTGTTCTGTCAATTGTATTTTGTTGAAATGCTCTGATTCTCTATTTGCAAGGTGGAAGTAGGTTGCCTACTTCAGAAACATTCTGCAAGGATGCCACTGTAAAAGTCACAACCTTGACAGCTTGGCAATCCTCACGAACCGTTTCCAAAATCAGCTTTGCAAACTCTCTCTGGTAGTTCTTATTAATGAGTGCACTGCATGTGCAGGCAAAATGCTGCATCCTTGGGTGGGCGATGAAAGCAATTTCTCTTTCCACAGTCAGGTCAGGTAGAGCGTTCCACTAATGTTAGCAATACATTAGCATCAGCACAGTCTAGACTGGGAAAAAATAACTAGCCCTTAGAACAAGGCGAAGCCATGCTGACTGTAGAAGGCAATCTCATTATGCAGTGATAGTAACAAAAATGAATGCCAGTGTGGAGCCCTAGCATAAATCTCCTGTTTGTGCTGAACTTAGGGACCTTGAAATCCCATCTGATTGCTGTTTGAGTCCATAGCTGCTCAGAAACAGCTTTGTACTTGCTTTGTAATTGCTCTTTATCAAGCAATTGCTCTTACTTTGTAACTGTGGTGCTGGTTCTGCATGCTGGCTTTAGGTTTCCAAATGATCGGCAAATCTGACATTTGACATTACGTAGTTGACCTTTGGTAGGTGAGAGGAGAAGCTGATAATTCCTAATGTTCACAGCACTTTTTGTGGGATATTTTTTTTCCTCCATCTAACTTGCATCTTTTAACTATTGTAAATTCTTTTCAAGTTTTTTTTTAAAAAAAAACTAAATTGGACAAAGTTTTGATGCCATTTGTGTACAAGACTTTGCATTGTAGGCAATCCTTTTATCTTAGTGTAACTGTTTAGTCCCTAAAAGGAAATGCAAGCTTCTGTTAAACTACAGGGATTCCTCTCAGAAATAATCCTGGAAATTGGAACTAACGCTTTCCCTCTTGCCCTTGTATAAGGGGTACGAGCCTGTCTGCAAACCAAGGCGCGAGAACAAGAGGAGAAGTATGAAGTCCAAGGCGGCCCACAAAGAGGCCGGCTCAACAGGGAACAGCTGGTGAGTTTTATTGCTTGAGACAGATTGACTTAATGACCTTTGGGTCATGTCATTTTGCACTTTGCCACATTGGCAGGTGCAGTAGATGTAAAATTTTAATGTGCTCTTGTACAGAAATTTGATTATGTGCAAGGTGATTGAGAGAATTGTGACCATCCATCAAGCAGCAATTTTTCTGTATTAGGGGGTGTGTTACCTTAACCTTGTTAGGGGGAACATTCTGGTACATTCACGGTGAAGCTTTAAGGCACAGGCAGTGGTGCCTGCTTGGACTCCTCTCCAGTGCAACCCAGTTGAAATGATCTTTAAGGACAGATAGATATTTGAATTTCCTGTTTCATTACAGGACCCCCTTATACTGGATAATTCCTGGGTTACGATGGAGCTGGAATTCATTAAGTGTTTTGTAAGGTGGAATGTCATGGAGCTAATCTTTGCACTGGGAAACAGATACATAGTAAAGCCTACTTCAAGTTTAAGCATGGCTTTACTTGGCTCTGTAATTATATTGAGGATCTTACTAGGTTACCGATCCAGCTTCTGGTTTTGATTGTATTTTTTGTAGGTACTGATTGTTCCTTTTCATTTTTTTCCTGTGTGCATTTGTGAGCATCTGTTTACCTTTCTCTTTCCAACTAGCTGCCAAAGTTGTTTGATGGCTGCTACTTCTATTTTTTGGGATCCTTCACCCGTCCCCAGAAGAGCGATCTTTCAGAGCTGGTCAAAGCAGCAGGAGGGCAAGTCCTAGTTCGGCAGCCGAAGCCCGAGAGCGATGTGACGCAGACGGTCAACACGGTGGCCTATCACGCAGAACCCGCTTCTGACCAGCGATTTTGCACGCAGTACGTCATCTACGACACAGCTTCTAAATTCAAGCCAGAGAAGATTCGTCAGGGTAAGGTGTGGATGGCCCCCTCCAGCTGGCTCGTGGACTGTGTGATGTCTTTTCAGCTGCTGCCGGTAAAGTGATTATCCCTGTATCATGTGCAAGGCTGCGTGGTGAATGAGGAGCGGTTGGAAAACAGTTTGACACTGGCCTGTGTTGAGGGTAGGGAGAGTTGAAGCTATGATTCATCTTTTGCACTTAGGAATACAGCAGAGCTTAGATTACTTCAAATGATTTACGAAGATCACTGATGTGTTGAAATAAATGAACTTGCTGTGGAGAAAAGATGTAAAGCTACTGCATTGAGAAATGTGCCTTCAATTATCTAGTAAGCTTTATTTTACATTTAACATCACTGCAGTGATCAGTGACATACTTTCTAACAAAAACTTTACAAAACCAGACCTCTTTGAACATCCTTGGTTTGAAACGAGCCCTTCATAGGCAGTAGAGCATGACCACATTCCTCGTGCATCTACTGTGTGTTGACAAGGATCTACCGTGCATGTCAAGATCTCTCAGGCCAAAATTCCTATTTTAAAGGAAAAAAAAAACCCTTTATGCTTTTGAATCTAGTCATTTGCATATATAGATGTCTCTTCTGTTGGGCAGCAGTTAATTTCCTTAGTAATATTTCACAGCTGAGCATGGCAGGGAGACCTTGTCAAAATGCCATAGGGTAAGCTCAGTGGAAATTAAAGTAGAACTAGTGGCCTGAAGTCGTATGACAGTAGATGGTTTTTGAAACTCTCTCTAAAATTTTTAATCTAAATTTAGTTATTTGTAGCAAGAGTAATGCTTTATCCCCCCAAAGCATCTCCCTTCGCACTTGCAAATGTATAGCCTGTGTAAGAGTCTCTTTTCTGAATGTTTTAAAGTATTGGATTCTCTATAATCAGAAATGCTTCTGTAAGTACAGATGATTGATATCATGGTTAATTTGGAAAAAAAAATATAACGACCACAAAAAAAACCCATGCTTCACTTTTTGCACAGTTGTACTAGTGTATCTGGCTACTTTCAAGTGATGGTTGATTCTTGCTTATCTGTAATAATCAATTTTTAATTCTTTCTAAATAACTTATTGTCAGAATCTTTCTCCTTTTTCATAAGAACTGTCTGTTCTTATGTCATATAATGGCTTTCTTGTGTGTTGCCTTAGTTTTGGAACAGATAACGTGGATATGGGGTCTTGTAACGATGATTATACAATGAGAATGATTGTGGGATAAAACCAAGATTTTTGTGTCCGTGTTCTTTTCGTATGTAGTCTGTAATAAAACCTCTGGTGCCAGTCACTTTTGGTGTACCTCATTGCTTGGGTTTAGCTAAAGAGTAGTAGTCCACATGTACCTCAGCAGGAAAATGGAAGTATTCACATTTGATTTTTTTACAGGCATGAAAATAATATATCCTTCCTATCTGCTAGATGAGCTCTGCAGTGCAGGTCAGTTTTTGTAACTGTTCCCATGGCAGATCCCACACCACATTTGAGTATCCTTTGTGCAACTCAGAACTACCCACTGTGTGTGTAACAGGTAGAGTTTTCAATAGTGTTTCCTAGACTTTTGAAGCTGGAGCGTCTTGATCTATCGCTCAGGCTGGACTGAGTCATTACTCTTCACTAAATGCAGTTCTCAAGTACTTGCTTGTCTGGGTGAGCAAGCACAAATGCAAGGCTCATTAATAAATGGAACAACCCATGGGATGAATGGATTTTTCTGTTGTTCTGGCAGAGCAGGGGGTTGGTGCAGATAAACACTGGCAGAAAATAAGCTACTGAGTCAATAATGTGTGCGCTTGGTCATTTATTTTGGCAATTGTAGCTCATTTTAACTTGACATTTCATAGTGCATCAATATACCTATTGCAGTATTCTTTGCAGAAGTAGCAGTGAATTTCAGCAAAAGTCTCAAGAACGCAGCTTTTCTGCCCGGTGCGGGAAAGGAGTTTGACCTTCTGTAATCTCTGCCTCTCCCCTGTAGAGGCAGGGGATTTACAGATTTTAAGAGCCGTTTATTCTTTCCTGGGAGTGGAAAAGAAACTTTATTGGAGCATGGAGCCTTAAATTTTAAGCCTTACTTCTGGATGTCTTAAAGTCTTGCTTTTAATTTTGCTTGCATCTGCTTTGGTTCTTCTGAATCAAGTCCTGTTTTCAAGCCAAGGTTGCCATTGAATCATATTAAGAATCTCATGGCCTCATACCGAAGAGCAGTTATTGGGTTTTTTTTTTTCCACAAATTTTAAGTGAAATGTGCTTGAGATTGACACTGGCCCATCTCCTTCAGGTTTCTTCAAGGATTCAAAGTTTGAATCCAACTTGCATAGACTTCTGGATTTCGAAAGAGTGGAATAATCTGGATTTTGATGCCAGGATAGAAACAAATGTGAAACTGCTCTTGAAGTGATCAGTAAGTACAGAAAAACTTGAGTTCAATGACAGACCCTGCTTATTATTCACAACTGTTGCTGCTAATTCTAAGCAGGGGTAGCACTCAATAAAATGTGTCTAAAAAGAGACTTGTACTATGGATAAATCAAGCTCCTTAATCCATTGGATGAGTCTTGACTCATAAAAGCAAGGTTATAAAATCATGAGTCATGGGGAGAAGGGTGTGTAGGGATCATTTTTCACTGTCTCTTCTAGTTCAAGGGTGCATTAAAAGGAGCTAGTGGGAGGCAGGCTCCAAATAGAAGAGATACTGCATGAAATACGAGTAGACTTGGGTAGCTGAGAGCCAGAGACCCTTCTGGGTGCTGTATGTCTTGGTATGGTCTGAAGCAGAGGCTGGATGAGTTTGTTGAAGTCCATTAAAGGTTACTAAAAAGACAAAAACTTTGACTACTTCAGGAAACTCCTCTGAGCTGAAAATAGATGAAAGCTGGGAAGAGAGTCATGTATGCTAATGCTTTCCAGTCTATCTTCTTGTGACTGTAGCTGAAGACGATGCACAGAGCTCCCTGGGCTTGTGTTAGGCTATGGTAATTTATTGTGCTTTTCTCCTGTTAAAATGCTTGCATTTAAAGTGCATCAATAATTGGGGGCATTTAAAGAGGTTGGAGTCCAAGATTTTCTTACTGGATCATGGAAACTTAAGTCCTACCTTGTCAATGCTGGGGACCTCAGAAAGGCTATTGATTTTCAGGCAGCATCCTGTGGAATTCATCTAAGCTTTTGGAATGGCTCTGACCTCTTATCTAAGGCAAATTATCTGGAGGGTTGATGTCTGTGTATATAAATATACATATTTATATAGAGAGAGATTATTATACATGCATATGTTGCATTTTTTTAAGGTAGCTGTATATACAAAAGTGAAATGTGAGAGTATGAAGGTTGCTTCTAGTAGCGTTGGTTGTGTTGTGTGAGGTTCAACGCGATATAATTATAGAATAATTCAGACTTCTGGATTTTTCTGTCTTAAATTGCATGCTCTTTTTCAAAAATCTTACGTTTTTTTCTTATCCCTGAAATATCTTTCTACTCTTTCTGAAGCAGAGATTAGATAATTATTGAAGGCAAGAGATTAATTTTCTTAAATATTTGTATGGTGAGCACATCAGAGGAAGTGCAGTTACGGTGGAGATAACTTGGGAAATAGTTCTCTTAGGACTTTGCTCCACTTGCTGCAGAATAATTCTCTTCTATGTTGCTGCCTTGAGGCTTGAGACTGTTTGTTATCTGAGATGCTCACAAGTGACTTTTCTGAAGAAAATTGTGGCCCATAAAAAGCACTAAAGTAATGTAAGAGAGCTCAATGCTGCGTTATTTTTAAGTGTTTTAAAGAAACAAGAGGGAAGTAAGTTAATAGCAAACAGTAGTGCTTCCTTTTGGTCCCGAAGCAGATTCGGAACATATGAAAGGTGCTCATCTGTCCTGTCTTAATTCCTCTTTCTGATGGATAGCAAGTGTGGAAAGGTCCAAAGACTTGCACCTCTTCCAGAGCAAATGGCAGCAAGTGCTTCAGCTAAGCCACGTCCTTCGTTAGGCTTGAGCTAAAGGTCCTCACTCTGGCTCAATATGAGTAGGAAACACAGAACAAGGCTCTACTTTTTTCCCTTTTTAAGCTATTTGGTACTTCAGTGCCAGATGGTGACCTGTTTTTGCTCTTGGAAATGGAGTGGGTTTGATGTCACCCTAACATCGTTAATCAATTTGGCCTGCGTGTCTCTTCCCTGACTTTCTTCTGTACTTTGCAAGAAGCAGCAGTTTGGAAAGATTCGAATCTTCCTCTCTGATAACAGAGCAGACCACACCAGGCTTAAGACCAGGCTTAAATATCAGTTTAAAAACTATAGAAAGATGTCTTTGGACAGCCAGATAATATCAGTCAGGAAATGGAAAATGTCTCTCTTATGGAACGAATGAAGATTCAGCTCTTTTTAATAGTGCAGCATGTTCTGTCTTTCCAGACTTGTTTGCTTTAAATTAACAGTAGTTTAACTAGTGCTAAATTACCCTTAAAAGCAGGAGGAAGTTTTATGTGCAATCAGATGGGAGGGAAGGGAGGAAATTTCCCACTTTTCCATTATTTCCAGGGCAAAGAGGCACTTTCCCCTTCAGCCAGCGGTGGATCCCGTGCGATAGGAAGGTGAGACTTGGACTGCCCCACATGCTGCTCTGCTCCAGCATCCCCACCGTTGCACTGGGGAGCCACAGGAGGGGAAATGCTTCTCACCTGCTCTCCTGGAAGGACAAAGCTGGAACAGCTGGTGTCCGATAAAACCCAGATCTGTTAAGATGGATAGCGCTGCTCCACCTGGAATTCATGGTCTGTAGCAAAACTTAACATTTTTTTTTCTCTGCAGCACAAAGGATCTGCAAGACTTTTTTTTAAGCAAACTGGGAGCCTTTTAATTGAATTAAATATTAATATGGATGATGTGATCAATAGTGTATTGATTGTTTTAGCCACAATAATGTTTAATTCAATAAGTCTGCGGTGCTGAGTCTTTTTTCCCCTGTTTTTCTTTTATACTTTTATACTGTACAGCAATATAATACCCATATGCTCTGCCTTGCTTTTGGGCTTGTGTGCCCTGAGCTTTTCCTAGGACAGCTCGGAGGATGAGAGTAGCAGGCAAGGGCAAAGGAGCCAGGCTGTGCTCTGGGTTGAAATCCTTCATGGGCCATCATGTTGACTGCATAAGGCCAGAGTTGCCCATATGGCTGATACAATCTAGTTTCAAAACAGCTGCTCTTTGGGGTGTGCGTATGGCCCCCACAAAAGCAGTATTGATTCTGAATTTAAATATTGCCCATGACCTCCTCACACTTAGCCCCTGTAGCCTGATGCAGTGCTTCATTCCTGCTCTTAGCATTCGAGTCCCAGCAGCTATGTGGAAATGGAAACATTTTCTGCCCTAAGGCGCTCTAAAGCAGTCATAACATGCTGCTGAACTGGGGCCAGGCTTCGGTTCTAAACTCATCCAACCTTGACCAATATTATTTGTGGTTGTAGGCAAATGGTTTTTATTAAATTAAAATTCACAGTTTTGCTTAACTGAAAAATTGGGGACAGATGTTCTCCCCAGATCAGTCCACATACACAGTGCAAGGTTTCTGCTCCCTGGTTCTTTGCCTGTTCCACACCTGTTGAACAAGGTATGAGGAAGAGCCTGGAATAAATATGCGGGGTTTTTTTTTTCCCCCCCTTTTTTCCCCTTTTATGGACTCTTTCAAGACTTTGCATAGACTATTGGGTTTTGTTTTGTTAGAAAAACTGGTTAATGAAATAAACCGTGACACAATAAGGGGGAAAGTGTGCGCCGCGTTAAGAAGGTCCTGTGGTCTATGCAGCAGTAGCAGGTGCCTGTGTGGCTTGGGAGCAGGCTGGGATTAGCTAGTTCAGGTCACACTCACCACGCAGTTTCTCCACTATCCATAGGACCCAAGACTTGCCCAGGGAGTTGGGAAGGTGCTCGGGCACTCAGTCTAACCGTGTCCTGGTCTAGGGTAGCGCAAGCTGGGCCTGCAGCAAGGCAAGTTGTTGGCATGAGGTCTCTGAGGATGCTCCAGGCAGCAGACAGGGGAGGGGCAGGGAGAAAAAGAGCCAGGATTCAATCTGCAAAATGTTCCTGTTGCATTCCACCTACATTGTGAAAATCTGAGGAAAATCCCATAACCTTCTTTTCACTTCCTCCATTCAAAGGACAAGTTCTGTGGTATCTGCAGGTCAGAAGCAAACGCAGCTCCAGCCCACAGTACCGGCTTCAGATCGATCTCTGGATTGCAGCCTGCAATACTC